CCCACACACTCCAACACCCCCCGCACACACACACACACCTCTATCAGCGGCAGTCTAATCTGAAAATTTGAAAGTTGAGTTCACTTGAACAAAAGGAAGGAGCCTCTATTACATTAGTAACATATTCAACAGTTTGAGTTGTTCATCTGAATTGGTTTTGATCTGATTTTTTGTTGTTGTCATTTTTCTTTGCTGTAAGGGCATTTTTACACCATTTTCAGAGCATTTTAGGTGATATTTTATATCATCCAAATCCACTTGTATATAAGCTTGGTGTAACTAGGACCAAAGTCATCTTTAGTGATTTTCAGTTTGTATGGCTAATGTGTACTTTAAAACCCTTTTTTCATTGCAAGAAAGACAAAAATCGGAAGTTGATTATATCTTCTAATTTCCTATTGATTTACACTGGCTTATGATTTTTTCTCAGTTTTAAGAAAATCACCCATTTCGTAAAACATTGAATATTGACATTGGCCCTTCTGGCACCAAACCACAGGTAAATTTTGGATTTAAAGAAATGCTTGAATGATATTTTCTCAAAACAGCTCAAAATGTTTCAACAAAATTGCCACTTAGAATGAGACTTCACTCTTCTAATAATATCCTTAGAGTAATTATTTCTGCCCTATCATTAGGTGTCCAAAAAATGAAAAAGAAGAACCTTGGGTGGTGACAGGTGGCAGTTGAGAAGAGGTGAGGCAAAACCGAAAAGCTAGTCCACATAAGAGAAATTAGAAAAGTAACTAGTAAGAGAAAGTGCACGCCATTTGTAGCACCAATAGTTTCTTCACTGGGATTACATGGGTTCAACTATTTATTTATATTAAAAACAGTAAAGGAAGCACATTTGCCAAATGCCCTCTCTTAGAACCACCGCAAGGCCCTTGTGAAAGTCCTACTGAGGAAAACAAGCACCACAGCTATGCAAACACTATAATAATTAATTAGTCATATTATAAAAAATAAAACAATAATTAATACTTACTTCATTGTATTTATCTACATAAGCACTGCAGAGGCGAAAGAAGCTTAATGGACTTGTATCTCCAAATATTTCTATATCCATATCAGCCATTTCCTTTGGTCCAAGAACTTTCATGTCACCCTGAAATTGGGTGAGAAATAAATCATGTCAACACGACATCAACACCACTTGAAAAATGAACAATCATCACAATATCATAGTAAAAATTACAAAAACTTTGCATTAATTCATCATATTTTGTCTCGCAGAATCCACTTCATATGAATGTGACTTCATTAATGTGTGAATTAATTCATATCATTAGAAACAAAACAATATTGTAATATTATACAATAACTATACATACTTGTTTTTCTACTGAATCTAGAGAATATTTCAATGATTCTATTGTTGCAGGATTAGTGTAGTTGTCCCCAAAGCTGTCGAATTTTGTCTTCAAGTCTCTCTCCAATTCTGCAGTAGTTCCTAACAAATCTGATGGACTCCAAGGAAGCAATTGTCCTACATCCAAACATTTCAATAGCCATGAAATTTTTGCCACATTGTATCTTCCACATTTCACAATATTTGATACACGAATATTCAGTTCATTGGCTAAAACACAAAATGTGCTAGAACCTGCAATCCCAGAATTGATTATTTATAAAATTTATAAGATACACTGAAGTGCATTCAATGGAGAAACAAAATCTGGATTATCAACCTGGATTTTGAACAAGATTTCCACCACATGAATGAATTTGTTTTTCAATCTCCTGTTTCGTGAGGTCTTCAGTTCCACTAATCACACAAAATTCTTTGTTGTTGAAGAGTTCAGATTTCTTTGTCACTTCTGTTAAATCAGCTGCAGTAAATTGTTGAGCCACTTGAAGGGTAGGACTAATCCGCCGTTTCTTTTTAGGAGAACTTTCTTCCAAGCCATCCACAGTTACATGCCTTGAGTAAAGTTTTCCTTCAGCATTCTATTATACAACCAAATACCATGAATAAATAAATGAAAACAGCTTTCAAATTTCACAAATTAAAGAAATATTCCGTCCAAAATAGTTTCCAGCAAATATGATGGTGCAAAAAAGTACTTTAAACTATTGTTTATTTGTCTTCCAAGTTGTGGCTTAATTTTTCCATTTCTATCCAGAATTTTCATTTTTAGTTTTAGAATAGTTCCAAATTCAATGACAATCAGAAATATTTGTAAGTAAAATTGTCATTTGTGCAAACTATTTAATAAATCAGAATGTATTCTCATTCCCTGATTATCTTTTTCCTTCCCTCCAGAAAGCAGGAATAAACTGGCTTGTGTAAATATATTATATCAAAACAAAGTTCTACTTACATAGTTCCAATTTTTGCACCTTAATATGGTCTGATTAAAATAAGCTGGTGATTGACAGATGTACTTCTGAAGCTGTTGCACAATACAATATGAGTCTATGATTTGGCTACTTACATAAACACGTGTTCAATGGTACACAACCTGTTAATGGGACTATAGTTTGGTGAATTTTCACCAATTGGGTTACATTGACTCGTATATTACATATGTAACAATTAAACGTATTAGGAAAACTATACTAATTGACAAACAAAATTCATAATTTAAATATATTTAGATACATAAGAAGTCACTAAGTATAAGTATGCTTACATGTCAAACATGCCTGTGAAAACAAATCAAAACACATTTGCATCCAAAATAATATCTCAAAATACCTTTCGTAAGTCTTCAAATTCTGCTAGTGTCATGCAATCGCTCCATTTTTTGTCATAGCGAATATCTTCCACTCGAGGAAAACGTAAAGTGTAATTAGTCTTGAAAGCATTTTGTCTACTGTCAACAATTTCAGTAGCTTTTATCTGCAAAAATATAAATAAAAAAAGAAAAGAAATGTACCAAGGATATAAATATAACAATGTACAATGTTTTTTAATTTGACTGCTGTTATTTCAACATAAATAATTTATTGGTTTCTTGTTCTATTAGTCATTTGTAACTGGTAGTTCACTTTCTTTATCCTCCTGGGATGCTCATTAGTTAGTAAGTTTGCTTTCCATAGCCCAACCCCAGGTTCAATTCACAGCCGAGGCAAATTCTAACAGTTTTCCTTACAAATGTCCCAATATCTATTGCTGTGTGTTGATGAGAACAATATACGGTGAATGGATGGCTTTGTGCTAACCATACAAACCCCTTAACCCATGGCTGAGAGACTGGGTCACTACTGGTCGGCCAAGGTCTGCAGTGGTGAAACATCACTTCAACACATTAATGCTGACAATCTGTCATGACAGTGGTATTGTATTATTTTCATAGAAATGGCTTTAAAAAGCGGATAAAAATTTCCTTGAATCATTGCATTGTGATGATTTGAATCACTTTTCTAAATTTGCCAGTTTTTCAAAATTATTAACAAGTTTAATAAAGTTTAATAAAAACATTAAAAATTATTAATTTTAAATAAATATCTAATTTTCATGAACTAAAGAAAGTGTACTACCAATTATAAATGTCTGTCTAATATAAGAAGGGACCAAATGAATTATATAACATTACTTGTTAAAAAAAAGTATTGTTAAAGTCAATTACGAAACCTGAAGGATGTACGATTTCTGAGGTTCAATCCAAACATCTGGTTTTTCTCTGGCCCACTCTAGACCAGATGGACGAACACCTGGAACCACTCTGTTCCAATGTGGATCCATTTTGGACAACAATTCTTCAAGTTTTGTCATTGTGTATCCTGAACCTACTCGTGTCAACGAATGGAATTCCACAGGATCACCTTGAATAATGACAGACGTTTTAGTGGGTATACCATTATTACTACTTGTATATTATCTGATTACCATACTACATTACAGTCATATTGCAACAAAACAAGTGGACAACCCTCAAATTATATGGATAACCTATCTCAGTTCCAATATCCGAACTCTTAGGAAAATGATTTAACAAATAAGATAACCAAATGCAATGGATCTACTTTGGCACTATATACAAAAAATATGATATTAAAAATAATTTCAATTGCTACATTCATTAATGGGTTTCTGCCTTAAGAAATAAGATAATAAATATATAAGAAGAAATTCCACAGTTTTATCAAAACTTCCACAGGATTCATATCATTTCAATGAACACTCTAAAGAAGTTAAAAGGACCAAAATTAAACTCACCTTCTGTGTTTGGAACAGCCAAACCAACGAGAAAATGACTGATAAATCCAGATCTTCGACCTTCACCATAATAACCTCCCATAATGATGGTGTCTAGATGATCCATCAAGCCTTCTGTGTACTGAAATATAAATTCATTTGTACAGGATGTCTATAAGATTTTAAAAATATTTCATTCATTACATTACTTTTTCTCACTTCCGGTTTAATCTTGTACCAACCAGCTTTTCTATTGTTTGGCTTATATACTGACATGGGTTGCTTCATCATTATTCCTTCTAATTTACTGTCAATTGCTTGATTTATGTGACTTATAACTTCTTCTTTGGATGTAACTTTTGTTCTCTCTGTTAACATAACTACTCCTTCTTCAGGAATAAATATCTCTTTCAACAACGCATAACGATCTTCCAATGGCTTGTTAGTTACAACTTGGTCATTGTACATGAGAACATCAAAAACACAGAAGCATGGCTTGAGACCAGAAGATTCTTTCAACGCTTTTACTTCTATATTTTCTCCTGTAGACAAATATACAAAACCGGTAATGGAAAAAGTAACAAAATATACATTTTTGAAAGATTGAACAAATCTAATTAAGTGATTAGATGAAATTCTAGGATTAAACAACCTTTGGTCCTGAAAAATTTTTTTCTTTTATCCCAAACCATCATTTCTCCATCAATGATGCAACTGGTAACGTTCTTTGATATGCATTTTGCAAGTTGTGGGGAAAGGCCACCTTTGTAACTTGATGAGCCATAAACCTCCGTGTACTCAAATCCATTTCTGAAAGCAAGATTGATTACAAATATAATATATATTTGTAATAAAAAAAGTAAGTTGGAACAAACAGTTCACCTTTAACAGGCTGTAAAATATATAGTCCAATCACCATATAGTCCAATTTTTTTTCCATTGAATTTTCAAAAGAAAGCAGATTGAAATGTAAGCAATTGCAACATGGACACACAATGGTAGAATGTTTCAAACACTGTAAATAATGCAAAGATTGGCACTCCTGCCACCCATGGGACCACATGGCATCGCTGCTGATCCATGCCCATCCTAATTTACCAGGCCTCTCTCTCTGTATAAGGGACAACACTGCCATAAAACTGGCTTGGTCCTGTTCAAGCCATGATGACCCGAAGCTCCACCCAGAGAATATATTGCGTCTGCTTCACCGGCCATTGAACATGGGCAACCACCATCGGCCAAGTTACATGCCTGCCTTGTGTAAAAGAAGCCACTATCAGTTTCTAAAAGAATTATCAATGCAAAAGGCTACAGTTGGGATTTGCATTGTATAACTATAGTTGAGCTGAAAATAATGATAGGTGTTAAGAAAATGTGAAAATTAGTGCATATATTATTGTGCGTGTAAAATAAGCCGGTGTTAATAAATAAGCCTCCTATTTTATTTTTCAACTCACATTGCCAGATAGGCAAAGGCTTATTTATATAGATATAGATATATCTCAGGGATTTGGGCAGCTTTGAGATGATGTGAGGATGTTTATACATTAAAAATATAATTATTACTTTCAACACACATTGCAAGATAGGCAAAGGATTATTTGACATTTATATTGACACCAGCTTACTTTACATGAACAATAATATATGCACTAATTTTTACATTTTCTTTTGCCCTATCATTATCTTCAGCTTAACTATAGTAAAACAAATTTTATTGTATCAGACATTCCTTCTAAATCTTTTAAGGTAATTTTGCCAGAACAAAGTAATAATCAAGCATAAATTAACCTTTTTTGTATTATTTACACACATCAAACATAATGTGGTGGTTCATATGCTTTCTGGAAGGAAAAAAAAATTATAAAATGTTGCTAATAAACTTTTAATATCAGCAACACAATTGATTCAGATCGTTGTTTTGGAAAAATAAATAACAACAGATGATACAAACCTTGAGAAATACTTGAAAGTATTATTCTTGTAATGAAGTTGAAATCTTTCACCATCATGCTTTGTTTCCACATAAAAAAGAGAATGCCGTTTGAAACACTCTTCTACCTTCTGAATGCTGCATTGTTCTGCTAACATGGGGCGGAATGGTGAAAATATTTCTACTTCCAGTTCATGCAAACGATGGTTGGGATCTTTCAACATATTGCATATCTGGAAAAAAAATAATGTAGCTCTGGAGAACAAATGGTATACACAAATTTTCATCACATTTGGAGAAAAAATTACTGATAGATTAAACTTTTTGGTTACACTTTTTCAATGTAACTATAATAAATAATTAAGAACACAATATATAATTTAATTGTCACATATATTTCTTCCTTGAAGATCAGCCAAATGGGTTGAAGAGCACTGGTGGAGACAGAAAAAGATTGCCACACTACTCTGAGGTAGATCATGATTAAACCATTTAAAGGGGTTATTTAAGGTTTTTACAATATTGTATTATTCATCATAAAACTGGATGACATCTCAATTCATTCCTTATCTTTACCCCTCTTCTTTATTCAGTGTTAAAAGAAACTAAATTCCTTAATTTTCAAAAATGAAGTCAACTGGTGAATAAAACAGTAAAATTACTAGTTTTAAGTGTATGAAAGAATTTGTTTCTAGACCAAACTTTATTAATTATTTTAAATTTTAATACATAAATACAAATAAAATCAATATAAGTTGTTTTTACTGTTACATAATAATTTATTTTCACTTATTACAACCGGGAAAGTGACATGTGTCATGTAATTATTTTGGGGTTACAAGCTTGTGTTACTGGGAGAAGTGGGGTTTTAAAATACTCCAAATTTTTATTCAGTAATTTACGGATGACCTCTTAGTTAAAAATCTATTTTTGTGGTATATATAATATGTAACATATTTGGTCAACCCATAATTAATAAAAAGTATGTTCCCTTTTCAAAAATTTGCAAAATTACATTATGTGAGAAAAGAAATGTAAACTAATAAATCTCCTTGTGGGTATCAGAAATATAATTATCGATAAAATATAAATGACAGATAGTGAATGACATAAATTGAAGATAAAAGATGTCAAACAATTTATGAGAATAATTTATATGAAGATACACCAAACTTATATCAAAAGGTTTAACTAAATCGCACATTCTAAATTCTAACAAAAATTTTTTATTTCTACCCATTTCTCTTTATTTATATATAATTTGGTAATTTGTTATGTTCTTTTAAGCACAGAAAAATAATATTCTTATTTTTTTATATTTTATTAACCTGTTATTTCATTACCAACTTATCTTAACTAAATCTAAATGGTAATCAACTTTTCTCATTTTTGAAAAATATTATTTCTTAGTCATCAAATAATTAAATCTAACATCTCTACTCTCTCTATGGTTATTACCCCATAAGTGTAGTGAATGTTATGTTACAGGAGGTGGCAGTAATCCTCCCTTGCTGGATGCAGAGGTCCAGACTGACCTTCATATTAGCTTTCAAGATTTCCTCCTACAAGAACCTTCCCCAATGGTGAACCTGCCTCCCCCCCGGTCAAGCTCTAAACTCCTGACTAGTCTCTTGACATGCACAGTCAGTTGGTTCATGTGCTTGGGCCTATGCGTGCCTGTGAGAGAGAGCGAGAGAGGGGTGGGGGAGTCTATCACCCATTTGTTAGCGTACAGCCCAGTCAACCCTTTGGTATTGATCGGAAAAACCTCAGGGAAACTACTGATCACAGCAACCAGATGGAAAAATTCTCCTCTGGACTGCAAATGAATTCGATCCAGGCAAGTAGACAGAGCGTTTGTGTCAAAAAAATTCACCATCATTGGGACATGAGCCGTAGGACCTCACAGTTTGTCATGGCAATGGCAACAGTTGGGCTGAAGTTACTCATCCAGAGCAGGCTCCTAACATGTAGTGGAGTTACTCTAAGTAGGGACCAGCTTGACAGGTCGGGGAAAAAGTCATGCAAATGAATGTCATATAGAACAATGACATTGCAACGGAAAGTGATAAAAAAACATTTACTAACTAAAAGAATACATTGAGGAATTAAGTACTCAGACATAACCCACAGTTATGTTGTGAACAACAGCTGTCAGTAGTCCCTTCTGAGAAAAATCTTTCTATATCAAAAGAAGTGGAGAGGTCTTTCATTAAATAAGCAGCAATCCTCTATGCCTTTGGTAGATCTTGTATTCATACCTTCATGATATATTGATGATATGGGTCCTCTGGCTGACAAAATACATAATCTAATTGCTACAGCCAATATCTGCATTTAAGAATATTATTACTCAAGAGTTTATTACTGAAAACCAACTAGCAAATCTGGGGTTGAGGTGTCCTTCCTGCCAATTTCCTGCGTTACAGTTTCTTTCATTAATGTAACCCAACCTTTTAATTATTGGTCCATACACTTACACTTGCCATGTAATTACCTTACAACAAACCTGAAAATCAATACTTACCTTTTCCAGACTATTGCTCACATCATAAAGATCTTTAGCGTCAAGGTGAAAAGCATTAAATATACTTGTTTGTCCTAATCCAAGTTTCATGTCTTTAAGTAAAATCCGAATTAACCATTTTTGATCGAAAGCTGACATGTCTTTTAACATCTGAATTAGTTCCAATTCCATACCTCCTAAAAGAGAATATAAATAAACTAATTATCTTATCATTCATATTGATCTTGATATCAAATATCTCAGATATACCTACTTCTGTCATTGGAGGCATTTTTTAAAGCAATGTTGTCCAAATAATTGTTGACATTCTCCACTGTCAAATTTCCTTTGTCCGGACACTTTCTTTTTAATATCCAATAAGCTACATCTGCGAAATCACCAGCTTGACTTCCACTAGATTTTGGAGCTCTGAATTTAAATTTCAAGTTGTTACACAGTAAGTTAAAGTTGTGCACAATAAGCACTTCGAAAATGAATGACTACATGATGTTTGTTTTGCAAACAATACCTATAATTCAGCAACTTTTCAGCATCAATTTCTCCTTTGGGAAGACACAATATTCTAATATAGATGACTGCTAATGTATGCTCTTTTACACCATAGGGACCTCGTTCTCTATCCAACTGTGGTAGAAGTAAGCGCATGACAGGATAGAAGCTTGTGTCCTAAGAAAAGAGAGAACAACTTTGGTTTCCCCTCTAGCAAACGTTAACATTGATACTAAATTTGGGTGTTATTATTTTAGATATATTTAATTAAAAAAGATATTAAGGTTTCAGATATAATGGTGCAATAACTCAAATCTCTAGATGCCAATTATTTTATTTACGCTTCTTTTTCTTGATCTAAATGACTTTCAGTAACCAAAACAACAATGACAATAAAGCATGGAATGAGAATAAGTAGTTCATATTTTAACGCATAATTCATATGTGCACTACGTTGGTGCACGTGAAGTAACACTGTGTTGTACACTAACATGGTATCTTCCACGAAAAGGGACATGAGTGACTTGGACGTTCTGTGTTAATCTTCGATGCCAGTCATCACACCACTTGTGAGACACAGGCCTTTGTTCCATTCAAACCAACTCCAAAATCAACCCAAATTTATTTTTCAATGAGCTTCCTTGAAATTGTATTTTTTTCCAGGTATATTAAAAATAGAATTATAGGTCTTCAATACAAGAAACCGTATATTCTCTTCACCAAGAAAAATATCTTATTTCTGTGCAAATTTAAATGATTTCCTTAATAACAAATGTTTCCTTGAAACAAAACATAAATTTTGTAATGGATAATTTTTTGATATTCAAGTAATTAAAATTAATCAATTATGAATGCTTTTATTATGAAATGTATATCAGTTTTTATCCTTGAAAATTCAACTTATAATAATAATATTAATAATAATTTTGAAGAGATAGCAATTAGAATGAATGCAAATAGAGTTAAATGATGCTTCTTACGAACAATATACTTACAACTTGTGGTGACTCGGAGGCAAATTTTTCTGCATAATCACGAAAGTATTTGATGTACTTCTTTAATATTTCTTGTTTATGAGGCTTTTTAGCACAACTAACTTTTTCACAAAGTTTACATAAATCAGAGAAGGGAATTTTTGAAGCAACTGTGTTGGTGGTCATGATGATTTTTGGCCTTTTCTGAAAAGAGTAAAGAGGCATTTACTAGAAAAACAAAACACATTATTTAACTTCCAAAAATTTATTGCATGGACACTGATACACAGGAAATACACTGAGGAGGTCATGTAAAAATAATTCATATACAGGAAGTTTCTTACATCTCAAATTAATTAACATAATTGGAACTCTTCATTCTCAAGAGAAATATTAATTTTCAGTCAGTCCCACAATTAAACAACTATGTACTGTTCAATATAAGTCCGGGCTAATTCATGGTTCCCAGAATGCATGTAAATTAAATGCAAATTAAAAGCAGCCTCACGTTTCAAATCTAACAAATGTGGAAATTTTTCTGTCAAATGAGATGAACACTTTAAGGCTTCTCTGTAGTGATGGATTGCTGGAGGAAGCAGACCTAATTGATGAAAAGCACGTCCAAAATTGTAATGTATTTCTTGCTCTGCACATTCACCACGCAATTTCTCGTACTGACAAAAAAAGGACAAACCTTGAGACACTAATGAATGCTTTTTTGCAGAAAACTTTTGACATGCCATCTGAAATAACGTCACTCCTATGAAAAATGCCAACGGTGCACATGGTTTATTTTTAAACACAGTGGTATATTCACTAAGTGCATATTTGTATGTTCCTGAAACTAGACAATTGTTTGCATGCAACACTGTTAAAGCTTTATGTTCTGAAGTCATTCTTGCTAATAGACGCATTACAAAACGATTGTGGCGTACATCATCTGCTCTTTGAATAACGAGATTAAACAGATTCCATGCTCTAGGATATGTCATATTTCGGAGAATATGATCTCTTGCAAAGTTATAGCCGTAATACTCATCACCGTTATAGAAACAAGCAAGAAGACAAATAAATTCACATTCCTTGAGTATATCTGGGCTGGTATGAAACTTTCCAGAACCAAGAGCTGAAAAAGCTAGTCTCTGTAACAATGGAAAATTCTGGGAGCGATAACAGGCATTTAACAAATCCACAAGTAACTGCCACTCTTCCTGAACAGTAGGTTCATTTTCACCTCGAACGAACTCTGGAGTATCTGAATCTAAAAGTGGTTCTCCCCTGTATGCTCGTACTTCTTTGAGAGCTTCAGTTTTCTTGCCTGGCCGTCTTAATCGAGTCACAGCATCTAGCTCATCTCTGTTACGTATTCGTGTACAGTGCCGGTAAAGAAGTAATTGACCAACAGCTAAAAATTCTTCCAGTTTCTCAGGAGTCTCCTTCAGCAGCATACAACGTTTATACAACAACCCAGGCTGCAAAATCTCTGTTTCCTCATCCTGAGTAAGAACCGATATTGCCTTTTCAAGATGCCCCAGTTGACGCCAAAGACTAGATAGGATAATTCGAGCATCTAAATGTTGAGGAGCTAGTATTGTAACCATTTCATATGCTTTAGCTGCTTCCTCAAGTCTATGACATGCCTTTAAACATTCACCTTGACGTAGCCATACAGCAGGCATACTGTATGTTTTACATTCTAACAAAGGGTTCAACAATTTCAAAGCATCTTCATACTTCCCTTCATCCATTAGTGCTTCAGCAATATCCAAATACAAATCACCTGATACTTCTGGAATTTGATTTCCAAGAAAATATGTTAATAAACCATCAACCAAATGGAATGCCTTCAAATAAATCATAACAATAATTAATTTCCCTTGTAGATCAATAGGGAGATTCTCTGGAAGATTGCATGACAAGATCTTCAAAAATGGAACATCTGCTATATTTTCAGAAGTTACTGGCTCTTCTGATTCCGCTTCTACTTCAATGTTGCAATACTGTACAAGGATGCTTAAGCAACTGCTATAATCTTTTAAATTTAAAAGTAACTCTAACATTATGTTAACATCCTCTGGTGTCACAAGATGAGGCACTTTGTTAAATGCAATCTCCATTGCTTCTTTTGCTTTCAAAATATCTCTATCATCATGAAATTTTTGTGCAACATTTTTTGCAATTTTTAAAATTGTGTTTCCTTGATCAGGAGTCAGTATTGATAACAGTTTCAAATAACCTCGTAATGCGGATTTTCTATCACCCAATTCTTCAAGCATTGAACATCTTTTCAAATGCAATTTGATATTTGTTGGATCAGCAATAACGGCTTTAGAGTAACATGTTATTGCTTGTTTGATGTTTCCTTGTTCTTCAGAACTTTCTGCAAGCCTAATCCATTGGTTTACATCTTGAGGACTTAAATGTGCAGCAATCAAAGCAAATTGTAATGCTTTATCTGCAGCTCCCATTTCTTCATACAAAACAGATAACGTATGAAATGGTTCAGGTGCTGTGGGCATCTGTCGGATAATTTCTAAGCACATGCTAATTGCTACTTCCTTTTCACCACGTGCATAACGAACATTTGCTTCACCCATCAAACCTAATAGGGCTGGTGGAAGACCTCGACGCCTACGTCTCCTCTGACACATTCTCTTAGTTTTTGTTTTACTTAGTGTTGCTTCCTTCAATTCCCTTTCAAACGCATCCACTGTAGCTGCAGACACAGAGTAAGGTGTGTCGTTGGTATCTTCAGCATCATGTCCTTCCATTAAGGAAGCATATTCACTAAATGAAAGTTTTCCATCTAGAAAGTTATTGGTCAACTCTGATTCTTTTTCTTTGGTCAAACCATCTTGACTGTTTTGAACTGGAGGCCCTTGATCATCATCACTTGACTCTGATATTTCACTTTCACTAACAGCCTGTTCAAGTTTACTGTGTAGATCATTTTGATTTCGAATGGAACTATCCTCAATTTCTTCAATAATGATGTCGGATATGGGCATCTCATTGTTCACGTCTACAAAGGCAAAGCTGTGAAATGGATCTGGTTCATTCCCATCTGAATCCATTCTGAAGCATCAAAATCTCACAAAGAAATTTACAGTAGACTTTTAAAAAAATATCCCTTTCCGAGCAAATCTTTTCTCTTTACTTCGATAAACAGGTCGCTGATTGAAATATCACCTCATTCACAAATATTTTCGTATTATACCAATTTCCACTCGACACGGCTTTCTCAGAAAATTCTAGCTTTCTGTCAAATCAATGAAATGTCAACCTACCAATTATACCGCTGTTAGTGATAACCGGTGATCATTAGAGTGATCTTCGTTTTTCGCTGTATATTTACTCAATTTCCCGTCAGCTCATCTCCATTTGGCTTCCTTTCACGCACAATTCTTTTTTAATTCACTGTCTTTTAATATTCATACTTCAATTACGTTGATTACTTTCATAGCAAAAACATGCTCAAGACTAGTGATGGCATCAAGACTCCTGAGGGGGAACCAGGAACCACAACTTGAACCGGTAGTCCTATTGCTTTTGAGACTGATTCGTTGAATCATGGTTGAATCGTTGAAATCGTTCACCAGTTGTATCTGCCCTGTGATTCGTGGAACGCAGCTATCAAGGCGGCTCTTTCAAAATGTCGAGAAAATGGATCTTAATCAATATTGTAATTAACATTTTATAATTCATAGACATTTTAGTACAACTCAAAAGGAACAAACATAATATGCCTTTATGAAGCATTTAATCATCAATAATATCATCTTCTAAGTCTAATTGCCCAATTAATCCGAAGTTCCCTTCAAAATGGATAAATAATAAATGCATGGAAGACGTATTATTACTCATGGAATATTTATTAAGTAAGTTGTTACTTTTACATAACTGCATTTATTTGTGGTTTATAACTTAAAATGTTCATTAAATAATAGAATCATAGTTTATAGGTGAATTCTTCAATATACAATACTTTAAGGAAGTTGCACGAATCATTCTTCATAGGTGAGGTTCATATATTAAGAGACAAGGTAACGGTACAATACCTAGATTAATAAAGAGAGGCTTACAAGAATCACGTGGGTGGGATTTGCTTATTATTCGTACAATTGGTTTTTGAAATATAAAAGTCTGGGAGCTATAAGATGTATTTCCCCAGAATATTATTCCATATCTCAGGCAGGAATGAGCATTCGCGAAATATACACAACGAGCAGTGTGGAGGCTGACTGAATTTGAAAGAATTCTGAAAGCATAGCACAAAGAACTTCATTTAGCATTGAATTCATTTAAATGGACGTTCCATTTAAGGTTTGACTGAATTGAAAGACCTACAAATTTTGTTACCTTAACATCAGTCATTAATTTGTTATTACGAAACCAATTTGAAATATCTGTTACTGTACTATTTACGGTTTCTTAACTGTAAAGAATATTCTATCATCCGCAAAGAGAACTGTTCTTCCATTACTATTCGTCGAGGGCATGTATAGTAGGAAGAGAATAGGGCCTAAAATCGATCCCTGCGGAACTCCACATTCAATTGGCAAATAATCAGAAAGGAGTGTACGTAATGTTCCAATATTCCAGTAAGGTTCGCTCTCACGATTCGTGAGTCACGGAGTCGATTTACTATTCACTAGCGCCACCATGGAGCAGACGTATCATTGGAGAACTGCGTGGATGATGGACCGATTAACGCCCGTGTTTTACCTTTTCCAAAGATCTTAGAAGTTATGACTACACTAGATTGCTAACTCATCCAGTCAAAGCAATGGATCAGGTGAAGCCGTTCGTCGTATTAGAAACGGGCAAGAAGCTGGCGGGAATTTGAATTCGAGTAGTACCAAGCTCATGCCCAGATGGAATGAACACTCAGAATTACGCACAAAACGGGTTTAAATAATTTATATCTGTTAAAAAATAAAAAAAATTAATACGAATAATATTATTTTTTAAACAAAAGCTTAATTGTTACACATGTTTGAAGAGAATGGCACTTAATAACTAGAATTATATTTACATATTGTTAAATAATATCAACTTATTCAGTTGATGTATTTTACTGACAGAGCAAGTATCTTCAGCAAAATGTTTGCCCTGGAAGAAAAGTCTTATTTCTGAGTGATTGTCCATTATTGAATTGATTAGCTGAAATTTATGAGGAACATCAGTTACGGCAGTGGTTTTAGCACACAGATAAGTGCCAGGGAAAAGGTTTTAATTTAATGCACTCCACCGCTTTACTCTATGTTTCACTTTTTTAACTAAAACAGATGCACCCTTATCTCTGAAGTGGAAAGACAACTACTTCTCAGTTTCAAGTACAGTTTTGTACACACATTCTGCAGCTGACACAAGACCACCTCTGTTTTTCATATTTACAAATCTTGTGTTCTCTGCAATCATTGTTTGTAAATTTGTATGTGTGCCATTACATGTCACACCTCTTATTTTTACACCAACCTCAAAGCTCATGATCAGAGCAGTTTTCACTAGTTCAGTTTGAATCGCTGCATTCGGCTTGTTCACAAAAAAATACCCAATTGGCCACTTCCACTTGCTTGTCATTGGAACCAGCATGAACACCAGTGCCTTAGTAGCAGTAACTTCAGAACCTTCCACAGCAAATTAATTACTATAGTAACAATAACCCACAAACTGAGATGCTTTAGGATCCCACACATTGTCTTTCCTAATAGCCATGCTATCAAACACTAAATTACACTCTTTATCTTCTGGGTGTAACTTGCACAGTTCTGTAAAAACATCTGAATTAACCAAGTTCGTTATTGACAGAGGAAATCCAGTTTCTTATTGAACTAGGGGCGGGCAAAATATCACTGTTCTGAAAAATAAAAACAATAAGAACAGAATAAAATAACATTTTTACATTTGTTTTTATAACATTCAAGTTAACTGCAATAATCGTAGGCCTTAGGTGAACATTAAAACAGAACCAGAACAAATTGTTTCATCTCTATGGAATATTTCTTCCCATTATATTTTCTATTGTGGTTCTTCAGCTCATTTTCAAAAACTATTACTGTTGTCACATCAAATTCAATCTCAATTATGCCACTCACATCATTGCCTATTAATTGCTTACTTCTTAAATGTTGAAGAAAATCTGTTAAGGACACAATTTTTTCTCTTTTGCGTAACTTCTGTGTAAGAGTTTTTGGCTAAAATTTAGTATACGGTACAACCTAAGCAAGTCGTTTAAACCGGCACTTCGCGCCGCTTCGGCGAAGGGGAAATCGACGGTGGAGGGGACGAGAGGTGTTTAGAGGATTATGAGGGAAAGCTTTCGATGGGGAGGAGTGGTGAGCAATATGCGTAACTTAGTATGTGTGTGTGCATATATATAAAGCAAAGCGTGGGCGATTTAATTAAATTGTAAAAGTACACTTCTGAAATATTGTTAATGGTTCGTAATTAGGCACGAACGTGACGTCAAGAGTTAGGAGGGAAGGTCAATTTCACAGTAGTATGTCGTCGGAGCTTCATTACATGGTGGTGCCTTGTATACAGCGTTGAAGTGATTTTTTTGTGTCGGAGTAGCTGGCGAAGTGGTTAGCTACGTTTCTGTCGTACGGTTGCGTTTCTTGCGTTCTTCAGATTCTTTGTGATTTGTGTTTTTGAGTGTCGAGAGTCTGTACTACGATGGTGAGAATAAATGTGGCTTTTTTTACGCGTTGCGCCAAAGGGGGCGTTTGGCTGTAATTGATTGGGCGCAAGAACGTGGTTGATTGCTACAGGATTTAAGTGCCCTGTGTATAAGTGTCCGATGAGGTTGGCCAAGCGAAAGGAGTTGCGTGATGGTTTCGAGTGGAAGTATAGCAAGAAAGGGGCCACTCCTTATGTGCGAAACTGTTCAGTGCGGAAGAGGTCATGGTTCCCGGGAAGCAAGATGAGTGTGATTCAGGTGTTAGTAATGACCTATCTTTGGGTCATGAAAGTACCGTGTGGATATTATGAATGTGTTTATTATGAATGAACTGAAGCAGTAAGCAGTAGAACCGTGACCGACTGGATGAGTTTTGGTCGTGAGGTGTGCGTCAGTGCGGCTGGTAGAGAGAGTGAGCCCATTGGAGGTGCTGGTGTGGAAGTGGAAGTAGATGAGAGCAAGTTTGGTCGACGAAAGTACCATCGTGGCAAGAGAGTGGTTGGGAAATGGATGGTTGCGGGTGTTGAAGCAAAGACTGCATACTCTCTGCACCCACCACTTCGCTGAAATACGGAATTTTCCCGACCTAAGAATTGACAGAAAACCCCTCTGGTGACGGACCCCTGCAGCACAAAGAGAACTGATTCAAAGAGTATATTACTGAGTATTCAAAGAGTATATGAACTGAAACATTGAATAGCGTGCATATAACGTGAAGTGACATTTTCCCTGTAGACTTATTGACCTTGAAGTTACTCTTTCAGTTTTCCACAATTACTTCAAAAATAGCAAGTATATGTAACAACAATAATCGAGTGTCATCATAATTCCCTTTATAAATGCATTTGGATTTGTATGAATAGCTTGCTCAAGCTTTGAATAATGAAGATCAGAATTGTTGCAGGGAGTTTGCTAGGATTAATTAGCAGTCCACGAGTTTTCAGCTGCCCGTATCAATGTGAATATAGCAAAACAAAGAAGTGTTGTCAGGCGAAGAGGGACGGAGTGGAATGAAGCAAGTCTAAACGGGATGACATGGGGTTGAAAGCAGGGTATGGTAGGGCGTGGATAACACAATTCTAGAAATCATTTCTGAGCTTGTTTAATGGATGATTGTGAATATAATGCTGGGCAATACAAATAGTACAATTTTCAAAAAAGTGGTGTGGTTCGTTTTATTTTTAGCAACGCTAGTTGATGGAGAGATAAGCAGAGATCTTTAATATTTGCACGTGGTTATGCAGGTTTATTATTACTCTTTCTATAACTAAAGCCTTTTTTCTGTAATAAGCTTTATTTTCTGGTTGCATTAACTGCAAGGTCATTACCAAGCACTTATACTTTTACAAATTATCAACAATTTTTTAATTATATTTGAAGACGGTTTGAAAGGATTTGAAGACTGTTTAAACCAACAATTGCAACACTCTTTTGAGCTGCAGAAGTATTTGATCACTTGGAAATCAAATTCAAATACCAAGATTAGTAACTGTGAATCATGATAAAAAGTGATCTTCAGCAGTTAGAGGAAGATTATAATTTTTACATCTTTGTTTTACTCATACATTTTTATTCGAATTTTCGAGAATATGTAGAAATTTGATTGTCTCATCTCATTGACTTCCAAATCTTATAGTATTATGTTAATATATTTTCTTGATTTCTTTTCTGGTCATTAATGAAAATTATTTGTAATTTATGTTATGTAAAAAGGTATGCAACAAAGAAAAATTAATCAGGGGAATAACGAAAATGCATCTTCTGTTGCTATTTGTGTCGTAAATTGAGGTATTTTAAAAGCAAGCATATTCCAAATAATTAATCTATAAGAAATTTTCTAATATGCTTTGTTTTTACCG